CAAAATTTACATTTTGGCTCTCCAAATTCTCTGAGGACTTGCAGCCTAAATTTACATAACAATGACTACTATCTAACTAGTCTTTATACTGAGTCAAAGCCTAGCAAGTTAACTGAGTTTGCTAGCAGTGCTTTAATATCTGCATTGTTAAAACAGAAGGGGGAGTAGAGTAACCTTATGTATGATGAATTTCATTTGGTCAATTTAACCAAAAAATTTCTCTCCTTACTAAAAGCCTGTAAAAAAATTAGGGATGATAAACACATTTTCAATTCTACAGCGAAAGCTAATCCTAAGAAGTCTCAAGAAGATGGAAATCGCGTTTGGGATCCGGGTCCATTCGCTTGGATAAAGGGCTATGCATTTATATTTTTGCAGAATAAAGCTGATGGACTCCCTTTAGAAGGATGCAACCATGTTTGGAGAAAGATGGACAAAGAAGAGATGGAGAAGCCACCCAATCTTAATCATAATTCCTTTTGCAGGTTAATGACACCCCAAAGAGAGGGGCTATTTGTTTATATCTTCACAGGTAAAGGAGATACAGGTGAATTTCTCTTCAGCCAGCAAGGCCCAGAAGAAAGGAGGGACGCCCATGCTGCGACGTGACCCTGTCCTGTTACTGAAGTTACCCAAAACGTGGAGAAGACCTCGCAGACTCCTGAGAATGGCGACGCTGACCGCAGAGAGATTGCTTCCATTGCGGATGCCGTCTAAGGGACACCCTGGGACTCTATCAAAGCTGAACATTTTATACAAAAATGACTGGACTATTACCACAGACTGCTGCTTTGCTGAAAGATCAGGATTTTGGACATTTTATACAATAATGACTGGACTATTACCACAGACTGCTGCTTTGCTGAAACATCAAGATTTTGGACATTTTATACAATAATGACTGGACTATTACTACAGACTGTTGCTTCGCTGAAACATCGTTTTGGACTTATCAATGCTATAATGTAATTGAAGAACATCATAAATGAAACTGCTCGCGGTGCCACTTGCCATAATTGTGAATTGTTCACTTGCATTAACCATGCTATGCTTATAAACCTTTCAAAAGATAGCATCCTCATCCTAAAAAGCAGGATGGGGGTGTGGATTCCAGTGGAGATGAAACGCAGATGGGAGAGCAGTCCTGAGTCGTCCTTCGTGATACAAGCAATGTCGGAGATGCTGAAAAGACCTCGCCAATTCGTGGGAATTTCGTGCAGAAGTGGCAAGTGACTCAGAGCCATTGCCACCAAAGCTGCCTCGCTGGGAGTGCTCTACAACATCAGTTAATGCTATAATGCGATTGAAATGTAACTATTCTCTGTGTAACTCCTTACCTGTATAATGTAACATTGCATGATTGGGATTTGATCAGGAAACATTTGCAAAGGGTTAAAGGAAACATTTCATTAGATGCTTATCAGCTTAAAAAGGATATTTTCTATACATTCAAAGACAAGCTTGAGGCATCTCCTGGCTCTGATATAATTAAGCAATTGGTGGATGGCATGGAAGGATTAGATCCTCATGCTTGGGCTCAAAGTATCTCTCATAGTTTAAGTGCTAGTCTGACTGTGTTGTTTATCATCATAATTTTGATGCTCGCAGTCTCATGTCGCTTCTATAAGAAGCTAAGAGATATTAAGAGAGATCATGTTGCCTCTGTGACACTATTAAATCTTAAGCGTAATGCAGAAAGGGGAAACGTGGGATACTAGCACTAAGGGAAATAAAACTGGGACTTAATCCCTGACGTGTACGGAGGGAATCTGGAAAGCCAGTGTTCCATGGAAAGGAAAGCCACCGCTCTGGAGGTTAGAGTTGGAGTCCAAGTATATTTTCCTGCGGTAATCTAATTTTTTCCAGTTTTCCCCTTATGCTGTGTTGCCTTAAAGTGAGCACATGGTTGATTCGTCCTCCCAATAGAAGCTGACATTCATATTTGGCTCTTTCTCCCCGCCGTGGTATCCAATCTCTCATACCTTCCTCCAATAGAAGATGGGCATTTGGGGACTTTACCCCAAGGCCTGGGTTTAAAGTGTTTTCTATAAGCCTGAATTTTTGGCTATATTAATTGGATCATGAAGTTTTGCCTTGGCAACTTTCAATGTATAGAAAATAACCGTATCACCCATTTAGCTTTTAAATTTTGTATATAAAACAAAAGGGGGACTTGTGGGGAGAGGTCAGATGCGCAGGCATTCCCTCCCCTGAAGGCAATCAGTTGCCAAACTACTGTCTCATCTCTACACAGGGGTGGGCCTGCTCCCTGCCTCTGGGGACAATGGACAGGCTCCTGTAGGAGGGGTTTGCACCCTACTGATAATGGTTTCTATGGAGACCCAAAGACCACCCCCTAGACCACCCACTCATCGCTGTGTAACCTATAGTGCAGCTCCTCCCTGTGATGTATGTCTCTACCTGTAATTAGTGGGCTGGCTTGCCCACAAAAGGTATATAGGGTGAGTCAGCAATATTGATCTCTCTCTGACTCTGAGCTCCTTGCTGCTCACTCCCTGGTCACTCCCCTCTCCCTTGTTCCCTTTCCCTCCTTCCCTTCCCCCTCTCTCCACGTGGACCACCAAGCTGGGCTGAGGTGACCAATGCTGCCATGTATTATTTCTGACTGTATTACTGTAATATCTCTCATGTTCTCGATGACTTTAATATAATACTTATATATCTCAACCGTACAATTGTACTTACTGAATCCAAGTAGTAGTAATAGTAGTAGCAGCGGGTGGGGGCTGGCCCTTCACCCCCCAGCGCCAATTTTTTAAATTAATACTACACCCATTGTGTTAAGTATGTGGCCACCTGTAATTGGGGGGCTTGCATGCCCTTAAAGTGTATATAAGCCTTGGTGGGAAATAGATTCTCTGTCTCTGCAGGAAAAGGTTTGGTGGAAAGACGAAAAATCACAGTTTGGATCCTGGTTTGCTAACAGCCCAAAGCGAGGGGCTGTTTATGTTTGCATAGGGTAAGAGAGGAGAGGAAGCTCCCCAGCAAATGCAGTCAAGGAAAGGACAAAATTTCAGCGTTCCCCTAACAAAAATTCGGTCTCCAGGTTCTCACAGCCTAAAGGGAAGCGCTGTTTGGTTTTGTCTTCCCAGGTGAAGGAGAATGCAAGTGAAGCGCTCTTCAGAGCGGTGGCCCAGGAGCAGAGGACAACCCCTGGTATGGCACAGGGGACACAAAGGTGACCAGAGAACTTGCCTCCCAGAGCACACATTGTCAGAGACATCGGAAAGACCGAGCCCACTGCAGCAGACATGGTCGGAAACCTCGCGGATTCATGAGAAAAGCCAATGCTGCCTTTCTAAGACCCAGGACTTGCCCACCACAGCTACTGTCACCAGAACCCCACGCTCGGACTCTGTCAAACACGCCTCCGGACAAAGGTGGATGGGAACCAGAAGACAGCACGGCTGAGCGACAACAAACTGTTTTCAAATTATGGACCCGCAGCAGCAATTGATCCTAAAAGGTGATTTAAAAATTACTTGCAACAGCAATTGATGCTGAAATGTAATCGGAAGATTACAAATCCAGTGTAACTCCTTATCCACATAATGAAACCTTACACGACTGACCTAAATTAGAAACCATTTGCAGGTTTATAAGGGAACCATCTCGTTAGATGTGAGAAACAGAAACATTATTCCCCAGGTTGTCCCCCCATACTGTATGCCAAACCTAAGAAGCTGCTTGGTAAGACCTGCTGGATGGCTGTACATTCAGAGGTCAACTGCTTAAAGGTTATCTCCCAGAGGGTTATCAGTCATCTAGAGCAATCCGACCCCATAGTCGCTACTACCCTAGGTGGGGCCCACTCCCTGCTAAGGACAGTGGATTAATGAACTTAGGGAGGACCAAGGATACACTGCTATGTTGACTTTAGAGTGCGCTCATCTTGCCATTGTACACCCTTGGGAACACATCCCTGTCCTTCCTATTGCATATATACCCCTAGCTTGTCCCTCTCCTATTGCACGTATGCCTAGGGTACAACCCCTTCCTGTTACACATGTCATTAGTGGGGCTTGCATGTCCCCTAGGTGTATATAAGCTGTCATTGCAAATATGTTCACTCTCTCTGCATGGACCTGGCTGTTGAGATCATGGCTGTCTGGCAGGTGAACAATTGCATGACTTACTCTGTCTCACGTCTCTTTAATTGTATCCTTCAATGACACAACCACCCCCTTGGACTTGTTTGATGTTGGGGCTGGTACCCCACAGTTAGATATAAAACAGCTGAAGGAGATCTTCAATACATTGAAAGAGCTGAAAACGTGCGCTAGCACAAACGCCATCAAACAGTTGGTAGATCGTTCAGAGGACTGAGGTTCACGAGCCTAGATCCAAAGTCTACCCCAAAGCTTTAGCTCTGGGCCATCTGTTTTGCTTCCAGTCATCCTTTTGGTCTTTGTAACAGATCGCTGTGTCTGCTGGAAGCTTCGGCTCCTGGAGGCAACTCAGACCACCTATGGAGCCCTTTCCAATTTGAAACATAATATAAAAGGGGGAATTGTGGTAAACCGAGGGACTGGATCAGAATGTAATACAGCTACATATTCTCTGTGCCTGCAGGTTATCAGTCAATAAGAATAATCAGGCTCTGTAGACCACCCACCATAAATGTAGCAACCCCCTGGGGAGGGTCCACGGGAGGGTTGAGGTCAATCAGCGCAGGGTCAGGATGATTAGTCCTGTCACTGCTTGTTTATTAAGTTATGTGCTTATGACATTACATATTGACTATGTACTACGGTAGCTGTATGAAATGCATGCCTTATCACAGGTCTGTAAGCCCCGTTACATAGACCCACTGGAAACTACATTCGCTCTCTCAGTGCTGACGTGGGACTAGGAGCCACTGCACCCTGCTGTCTTTTTTTTCCCAATCGCAAACTCCATCCTGAGGAAATAGTCACGTGTTGGGGACCCCCTCACACCAACACACAATCATTCCCCATGAGTGCTTTTGGCTCACTCACCTGAACACATCCCACCACAGCTTTTTTCTAATACGAATCCTGGTGGTTCTC